GGAATTATCAATTGCTGCTAAGAAACTGAGACTGAGAGATGAGGATGTCCAAACGCTTCAGAATGGTACACAGACACACACCACTAGTCCTTAAAGTTTACTGCATCACACACGTCTGCTTCCACTTCTTGAAAATGAGAAATCAGCCAGTTGATCTAACCCTCTGCTGGTGTTACAGAGCTGCAGAGTCGGCAGGACTCGCTGGCTCAGCTGCAGGAGGAGACCGAACGGCTGCGACAGGTGGAGCTGGATAAAGACTCTGAGCTGAAGAGCCTGAGGGAGGAGCTGCTGAGCCAGACGCAGCAGCTGGACAGCTGCCAGGCGCGGGTCAGCTCACACTTTGATTTTAATGACACAGCTGGACACCATTAGTTACTGGATGAGGAAGATGGCTGTACTGTTCTACGGTGATCCATTGATTGACTGCATAACACAGCAGCCCTGTTTGATGTTTGTGATTCAGATTTCATACCTGGAGGTGGAGGTGGAAACACTGACGGAGCAGCTTCAAAGTCCGGAGGTTTGTGAGGAGGATCAGAACGGCTGCGTGACCCCGGATGACCTGGATCACATCCAGAAGGTCAACAGGGATCTGGAGCAGCAGCTCGGCGACAAGAACAGGGTCAGACACCTTTCCTACCTCTGCCCCACCTTCTGCATGAACATACATTCACACTGCTACCTCTATATCATGCATGTGTTGTTTCCAGACGATAAAGCAACTGCAGCAAAGGCTGGCAGAGTTGAAGAGGACTCTACAAAAGGAACTGGTAATACTGGGAACTAGCATTCATTTAGAGGCACTGAGAAAATAAAGTGGTTCATTTTGTGTTGTTTTGCTGTTCTGAAGAAATTAAAGCCTGAGCTAGAAGCTGAAGGGAAGGAGAAGGCTGCGGAAAGTCGAGCAGAGAAACAGGAGCGTGTGAATTCTGAGCCACCTCCACCAGCTGCCCTATGCCCCATCACGTCCAGCACCACCGTCACCAACACCTCAGACCTCAACGACTCGCGGGAAATCAACTTTGAATATCTCAAACACGTCGTTCTCAAGTTCATGTCCTGTAGGGAGGCTGAGGTGGGTCATCCAGAGGTGCATGCTCTACCTGCAGGCAGCTTTACAAGCACAGACCAAACGTGTCCTGATTTCCCCATCAGGCATTCCAGCTGATCCGAGCCGTGTCTGTGCTGCTCAACTTCACTCGAGAGGAGGAGGACATGCTGAAGCAAACCCTGGAGTATAAGGTTGGTGGTTCGTGTTCTCTCTGGCTTTAACTCGGTTTACTTTCAACAAATGACAGAAGGTTAGGGTAAGGTGTCACACCTTGCCAATTTAGCCAGCATATGCCTGATGTCCCAGAATCTCCTAAAACGCTGGCATATGCTCAACTTTCTATGTACTTTTTTAATCTTGGACGTATAGAGTATTCATAACAAGTCCAGAGATTATGTCCAACAACAGCCTAACTTATACATAAAGCATGGCAGCGTAATGCCCAATAAAATGATGCTAAAGCCTAATTGTAGAGTGAGTCTGGGGCCGCCCATACCTGCCATCAGGCACATTTTCCTTCTGAAGAAGCTTTTTTAAATCCTTTATACAAAAACATGCCCATCCATACATACCATGGGAATTTGATGCAAAATGATGCAAAAGCATCATTTCATGGGCATTACGAAGCATCAGTGAATTATTATGCTACGTTCACACCAGACGCGGCAAGAGCAGCAGCATGCTGCTTCCTTTTTGCTGCTTGTACCCGTTAGTTCTGACGCGCGGCTTAAGCAGCTTTGCTGAGCCGGCTGCGCAGTCGAAAAGTGTGTCTGACGCGTGTTGGGCGGAGCTATTCTATCCTTTCTCTGCCTTGCAGCTATATTTGCTGTGATCAGTGGGAATAAAGTAGTTTTAAAATGTTTTTAACTGTGTAAATCCACCTGAAAACTTAATCATTGCAGTCAATTCATTCAGATTACCATCCTGCCTTCCAATATTATTTCTGTCGGAGCCGCTCAGACCCCCACATACCGGCGGTGCGCTGTCAGTAGGATCCCATTCAACAGCAGCCTCTGGCCGGGTCGCCTCCTCGCGGTTCACCACGGCGGCTGGAAGGTGGTTTTCATCTAAATAATCCAAACTGCAGGCAGCAGGATAATAAAAGCGAACATATTCTGCCGGCAGGTTTCAGCATTTTAAGCTAATTTAGGAGTTAATAAACTGTTTCAGAGGAGTGATGACAGCGCTCTGTGTCATCAGCGATGCGTCTGTCTCACAGCCAGCTCCCCGATCAGCTTCTCTGATTGGTTGACGCGGCGCGTCCATCTCGAGCAGCAGCGCGTTTGCGGCGCGTAACGCGCATCAGATGCTTAAACGCTCCCGACGAGATGCTTCTGCTGTTAAGACTTGCTGCGCCTGCTGCTCAAAACGCGCTGCGGGACATTTTGCTGCGCCTTGATGCGCGTCAACCATTGACTTTCCATGTAAACTCGCTGCTTCTGCCGCGCCTGCTGCGTCCGGTGTGAACGTAGCATTATGCCATTGTACAGTAGCTGTAAGTTAGACAGACGTTCAGCAGCCGTCTGGAACACATCAGATACAATGATATACGTTGCGAATTATGCAGAAGTTACTTATGGATTTTGGATAAACTAGACACCATGACTTATGAGTAACTTACACTCACCTATGTCAATAATCAGATAACTTACCTCTAACTTATGCCCCAATGAATGGCATACACTGGAAATATTCAATATTTCTTGACATATTTGCTGTTATGTCGACATGCGTCAGCATGCTTCAGCGTGCTCATAACTTACACAAAACTCACCCATAACATATCCAACGTATGCCAGAGTTTTGGTACATCAGGCATACGCTGGCTTAATCATCAAGGCGTGACAGGGGCTTGAAGAAGAACGATAGTTGGGTTTCCTTCTGCTCTAATGACTGATGTGTTGCAGATGTCCTGGTTTGGATCCAAACCTTCTCCCAAAGGAATCATCCGACCTTCGATCTCAGGCTCTTCCACTCACTGGAGCTGATGAACAGCAAAGTGAACCATGGAGGTGAAGAGAAAGGGAATAAAGGAGCAGCTCAACCAGAAGAAGGAACTCTTTGTTTTGTTGCTTCTCTTTAAGCAATCTTTAATCCACTTCTCAAAGCGTTTCCCCTGCTCGCTTCGGGTTAAACTCTTGGGTTTTTGCTACGTTGGAGACAAAGAAAAACCCACACAGCAGAATAAAGAGATAACTACCTAGCATTTGTTTATTGGTTTATAAGGAAACATCGATGCACGTTCTGTTGGAACAAGCGATTCCATGATGAGACTCAGCATGTTATTCAGTGGCTCATATTTTAAATCACAAATGCCTCTTCTGTTAAAATGTTTGGAAGCATTACTCTCAGAAGACTGAAGCTGGATGGACTTCAGTTCTAATAAGTGAAACAATCAGAATCAATTTACACTAGACCTGGATTATCTCTACTTGAAGCTAATCTCACTTCAGCCTGGGAATTATGCTGGTAATCCCAAATTTAAAAAGCGGTTTTATTAAAGAATTTTACTGTTTTGGGGCTGGTTGTTGATAGATTATTTGTTTTGTTTGTTATTTTAAAGCAACATTTCACCTCCCACTGTGTGGTGAGCTAAATACTTAATGGCCTTAATTTAACCTAATGTTTTAATAATGATGTATTAAAAAGACTAACAATGGGCCCTAACTGAATGCCAGTCAGGGGCCTCTCTGTGACTGCCCAGCAATGTCTTGCTGTTCTTGGCCCCCAGTGCTAGCAATATTACCTGGATCTGCTCTACAGGTGCAACTGTATTTAAAAGATGAGATGAATACTATGTATATGTAAATAAACTTACATTCCGACATGTCTGTTTATGTATAGAGATATGTACATACTGTATGCATTGAGATTTTTTCTAAATTGGGGTGTAAATATTTTAATGAAATGGTTTTATTGTATTTATCTTTAGCGTTGAAATGTCTCCATCAGTCCCTCTGCTCTATGTTTCCCTTCAGTCCTGACTTTCAGACACTATTCTTTTTCTAAAATATTGATTTGTGTTTCTGGGATACAGGAAACCCTTTAAACACAGCTGTCATGTTATCTTGTTTACCTAACGACTGGTAGCAGACGAGTCATACTGACTATCTGGGTGTGATGGATGTCATTGGAAGCTGTATGTAATCATAAGTTAAGCCGTGTAAAGTCTTTTTAACCTACTGTTCCATCACTACAGTTTCTTCTCCAGCTTTTCTATGATTTAATGATGCCTGCAACTACAGTTGATTACTTTTGAATGGTGATTATGAATAAACCCAAAGGTCATGAAACCAGATTTCAGAGTCCAAACCTTACTATTTTTTTTTTGTGGCTTATTTTCTTTTTTTCTACAATGGAAGAGATTGGTTATTGACTTAAATTAAAGGAACCCACTGCTGTTTTTTCCCCCCTCCTAATCTCTATTCTAGCAACAAGACTACATCTGAATAAATGTGTGGGATCTAGAAGCATCATTTTTGTTATACCCTTGGTATAACAAAACCCTTGGTACTCAGGAAACTTGCCGTGTTTCAGATGCATCTGCTCCATCTTTTTGTTTCTTTCAAAACAGCAGTCTGTCAGTCACTTATTAATTTAAATAATATATGGCAGCATGGAGACCTATTATTGGTCCCCTTGGGACAATGAGTATACACATATATATGTGAATATATATATATGTATACGTATGTGTATATACGGTATGTATATATGTCCTCAAACATTTGAAGATACGGAAAAGCCGGGATTATCTGGGATGAATTTCTCAAACGACGGTTTTTTTATTTATTTATTTTTTTAGTTAAAATGTCCTTTAAAATGCAGATATTAAAAATAATTGCTCGCGTCCCTTTGGTTGAGTTCCCTTTGTTAAAAACCCCGTACGCACGGGGGCGCTGTCGGTAAAATCTGGTGTAAAGTCGGACAGTTTTTTTTTTTCCGGAAGCTACTTTTTGTGAGCACGCGGTGCGTCCGGCCTTTCCAACAGGGCTCCGACGACGAACATGGTGAGGAGCTTACTCTCCAGAAGAAAACTTGAATATTTCCATCTTAAAACGTTGTTAACCAGTATTATCGAGGCTGTACTTCTACATAAGGTTCTTATGTTCCCTTCAGTGGACGTGTTGAGGTTTGGGCTACAGCAGTTTAGTAGGAATTATTCAGATAATGGAGCGCTCTCACCGAGCAATGCTGCTACATTTGGAAGCTAACACTTAGCCGGAGAAACACGGTGGGGGGACCGATGACTAATAGGTTTTATGCATAGAAAATGATTATTATTAATCTTACACTGAATTATTCGCAGCAGTTGAATTGGTAATGTTGATTTTTGTTAAATGGCTATTTTATTTTAATCCTAAGATGAACCCCCAGCAGTAGCGAAGACGGAAATGTAAAAGACTGCGTATGTGTAACGTTAATTAGTCTTCGTTTCTTCTGTTGGATTTTAGGCCAAGATTAAGGCAAGAGATTTGCGGGGCAAGAAGAAGGAGGAGCTGCTGAAGCAGCTGGATGACCTGAAGAATGAGCTGTCCCAGCTGCGTGTGGCCAAAGTGACCGGAGGAGCCGCTTCCAAGCTCTCCAAGATGTGAGTGTAAGCAGCATGGCTGCTGCTTTGGGGCATCTCTCCATCTAAACAAACTAGCAACGTGTTGGCCACGTGCCTGTAAGGACAGAGGGGTTCTGCTTCCAAAACATTATGGCTAATAGTTAATTTACTGTTCCAGACATTGGTGTAATTTCCCTTCAAATTATGCCTTATCTAGAAAGCTCTCAGAATGGAATCAGTAATAAAGTATGGATGCTGACAACGTTTTTTTTAGTTTACACCTTATTCTCAATCTTTTAAAAGGAAAGTGTCATGGTGATATCTGAACATGTGGCTTTTGATTTTTAGGAAGCTTTTAATTTTTGGCACAGTGAAAATCAAGAACTAAACCATAGTATAGCACAGTTTGCACAATTTAACTTGATTGTTTTAAGGTTTTTCTTTTTCGAAATTGAACCGTAAGGAAAAAAATTTAAGAAACCAGGATAATCTGAATATTTCAAGGTGTTTTTTATGTTTTGAATTAGTGGCATCTTGACAGACGAACTGAGAGCAGCCAAGTTAAAGATTGGGGCCTTAGCAAGTGGGTTAGATTAAAGCGTATAACTACTTATTCCCCTAGAATCTTAAGACACGACTAATAAGCCTTCCCTGTAAAACATATTAAGACTAGATCATGCCTTTGGAAAGTTTTTTATGCAAGAGCACTTCCAAACTAATTTGAAAATGGACCAAAGACGGCTTTACTCTATAGCAGGCATCCCCAAACTCGGTCCTCAAGCCCCCCTGTCCTGCAGGTTTTAGAGGTTTCTCTGCTTTAGCACAGCTGATTATGATTGCAGTAGACCAAAAGCCTATTAGTCAGCTTTCAATTAAAATCAGCTGTGCTGGAGCAAGGAAACCTCTAAAACCTGCAGGACAGGGGGGCTTGAGGACCGAGTTTGGGGATGCCTGCTCTATAGGACACCATAAACCTCTAACCTATATATAGCTGTTGTTCATTATACCTGATGTTACAAGTGAATTTTCTTGTGGTAAGATCAAAATAATCTTATCTCTAAGTAGGAAACAAATGGTACTTTATCAGTCATTAGAAACATTAATATCAATTAAGCCTCCTCATACTAAGAGTTTTTTTTATTTAGCTTGGTATTTCTGCTGTGGGGTGGAATATAATAGATATAGCAAATATTTTTTTTTTTTTTTCTAGCAGACTGTTTGTGTTGTAAAGGGGCAAAGTTTGTTCATTTAAATGCTGCAGCTTTAATGTGTGTTGGAGCTGTTTGGTCTGAACAATTATTACATTAAGGTACCAAGCAAATTCTGGTGTTTGCAAAAACAGAAATGGGACCAGTAAATTATATGATTAATTGTTGGGTTGAACTGCTTTCTGACCCTCTCTGTTGACGCTCCACAGCCGTGTCGTTCGCAAATCCATCGCCCGGGTACTGACTGTAATCAACCAGACGCAGAAGGAGAATCTGAGGAAGTTCTACAAGGTGAGAGCTTCATCCGCCTTCCTTAGGCTCACTGAACATGCAGCTGCATGATGGGGACTTTTCAGTTTCTCTGGTCTGTGATGATAGACGTTGAGCTGATGTTACACTGACTGTAAAAAAACTGCTTACCGAAAGACTGAGACTTGAGATGACTGTTACTGAGTCCTTGTTATTCTGGCTGCAATGATGCTGAGATATTTGGTCGATTATGTAACCATATCGGCGCTTTTAAGAATGAAATCACTAATGTCCTATTTGCATGGGGATTGGAGGTTTCGTTTGCTTGTTTTGTGATGAAATGTTTAAACACTTTTTTTGTTTAACACTTTCATCCATATATGCCTAAAAATCTATATTTGAACGTTTTCAACAGGCTCATTTATGGCCTCCACTGAAACCTATCTTAACTTTTCCAGGGCAAGAAATACAAGCCCCTGGACCTGAGGCCCAAGAAGACCAGGGCGATGCGCCGCCGCCTCAACAAGAACGAAGAGAGTCTGCGCACAAAGAAACAGCAGAGGAAAGACCTCCTCTACTCGATGCGCAAATTTGCTGTCAAAGCTTGATTTTTTTATTTTAGGTGAAATAAAAAAATCTTTCGGTGTGTAATTGTTTCTGACCTGTTTTTATTACCCACTTTATACCAGCTCATCCCCAAAAACCCGGTTTGTTTAAATGACAAATCATTCACACACAAAATACAAAAATATGTATTGGTAGATTATTTATGGATATAAAGCTAAATTTTTACAACATCATTGGTTTCTAAGTGGCCCAGTTAATAAGGATATTAAACTGATAGTAAAACATACTGAACTGAAATACTGAAGCTGGTTTGTAATGATTAATGAGCCATTGGAGACTGACCAGCAGGGGGCACTGACACAGGAGACAAGTGGAACAAGGGATAAAGTGCTTAAATCAAAGTATTGGTTTTAACCTTTTATAGGGCAAGTTACCGATTTTTGATTACCTGCACATCCCTCGGTGATGTCTAGAAGCACAAGATCTATATCCAGCCATTCAGCAAAGATGCTCCTACATCGCTGTATATCTTATTTTGGCTTTTGACCAATTAGATGAGCCCTTGAATGATATATTACCTACTGTAAATTAATTTGAGGAATTTAAGCTTATTGAAAAAAGTAAAGTTCAAAAGTTATAAACCTAGTTAACAATTATATTTAGGTTTATATACTAAAAACTGTGCCAGTATCAGCATTAATGCCTCTAAGGTTATGTTGTACCAAAGAAAAGTGTTTTTTACTCTTTCATTAATTTCTTACAGAAGCACTTTCGTTATTTTTCTTAATATATTCGGGCAAGATGGCGTTTCTTATTACATTGACATCAATTTTTGTCATGAAAATATCCATATTTTTTAAATAAAGTGATAAGGTCTTGTCCTGGATTCCAATAACGCTACTGGCTTGAAATTTAGACTTTCAAAGTATTTCAGGTGTCCTATAAAGGGTTAAACTAATTGGTTGTTCATAAATCTCATTTGTTGCATTTGACCTGTTTGTATGAAACAAGTAGAGTGTGTGATAAGCACTAAAGACATGAGGACTTGCATGTCAAAATAAATGACTATAATTCAAAAAAAAAAACTTAAGTAGCTAAGAGTTTATTTTTTATTTTTTTAAAGAAAATGCTGAAATGTTTCCAGTAAAGCAACCAGTCTGCAGTGGATCCTTCCCCTGATTCGCTATGATAAGCTTCTTACCAGCTGCTCAAGTTTGATTTTTCACCAGCTTAAGCTGTGGTTTTATACCACAGCAGCAAGCGCTAAGCACAATTTGGTTTAAAATATCATTTATATTTATACATAAATTATTCATATATCATTCATATATGATCCCTCTGAGGAACAGGACTCTTTCCCATTAATGTTCTACCAGGTATTTCTTCAGTGTGGAAAAGTAATGGCCTTCCCATAGGTAGATGATCCAGGTCCAGAATGTTAAAGGCCTTTACAGAGATCAGTTCCAACCATTTCTGGCTCCACAATGCAAACTAATTGCATGGTAAATGAACAGGATGCAGGAAAACAAGACAAGAGTCAATTTGAAATTAACTTTAATTCAGATAAGTTGAGTAATAACTGAGAGGAAAAGGATGACAGAACGAGAAAATTAAAATAAAAACCCAACGGCTGAAATGTTCCTATTCGTTTTAGGCTGCTCCAAAACTCTGGATCATTTTAATAATAAACTTTGAAAGATGAGACGTTTTACACTGAGGGGTGGCAGAAAGCAGATAGGCACCAGATCCTCAGGGTCAATCTACACTGTTCCTACAGGAAAATTAACAATTTATTTATTTAATAAATAAAGACAAAATATACTTTCCTACAGCCTTTGTTTACAATAATACATAAAACATATATTTAAACATCCGTAATTTCTAGGTAAACGGTATAGTTGATAAAACTTTCAGTTTTAAGTTCTGGGGCATAAATCTTTTCCATTGTCATTACTTACCTACTTTTATCAATAAACGTTCGGCATAACATTTATATTTACAAGCAGGAATATTTACATAAATCGGTTATTTGATAATTTCTTATTAAACTTGTTATTTGCCATTGATTTCAATGAAGACTCCTAGATGACTTACATAATTTTCTCTTTACCCCATATAAGACAAAATCTAGTTCTGAAAAGAGCATTAATTCTGTACTTATCATCTTTGATGTTAGTATATTGATGTGTATAATTACCCACAAAAAAATGAAATGTTTTGAATATTCCACTTGAGAGTATTACTGCTGCCACCGTCTGTATTAGAGGGAAAACAATGGTAGGGGTGGCCACAGGGGTGACCAATGATTGGCTAAGTGTGGCCATGGCCACCCCTGGCCCTCCATCAAGCTCCGCCCCTGCACAGCAGAGGAATTTACTCGTTACATCATCTCAAATAGTCAAAGGACAAGAAGAAGGTGCATGGGATATATACCATATATACAGTGCGTCCACATATGGCAGTCCTTTTTATTTGGGCGCAACATTCTACCTACTTTTCATTATTATGAATACATAATATTGTTTACAGGAAACTAACAAATGGAGTAATATCAAAGCGTTAATCAAAAATAAAATATAAAAAGTCAACAGAGTAGGTCATAGTAGGTGACTGGGCCCCTTTTAGCAAAAAGAAAAACCAATTGAAAAATGCACTTTGTGATGCTCTAGTTATCTTTGACATGAAGTGTTTGATGATGTGAAACAGCTGAGTTTACAAGTCAGTGTGAAAATACGGGGAAAATGCTTTCCTAGAGTATTATCATGTTGGAAAACAATAAAGTCTGGAACATTTTCATTATCAGCCAGGATTTTATCCCTCTACTTTCTTTATACTATTTTTTAGCACTAAGATGCTTTGAATTAATTTTTTTAGGCCCTTTAAACTCTGGAATCATCCTGGTGGATCATCCAAACAAACTAGTTCAATGTAGAAATCCAGACGGTGTTCTGAACACCAAGCCCTGCCCAGAAGGCCTGTCACCTTCACTCTAATTACTTTTCTATCATCACAATGCTGCCAGTTGTTTTAGTCCCCCAGCAACACGCAGCTACTTACCATCCTTTCCTGAGGAGCAGTTGATCAGCATGAGACTCTCAGCAGGCCTCATCTCACTGTCTGTGTGTTTCTGTGTGTTTTCTCCTTCCTCTCCATCTCTCTCCAACCCTGCAGACAATCCAGGCTGCTTTAAAGTTAACAGCTGCAAATGCATCATGAAGGATGGCAGCGGAGTGATAAACCTGAGAGCCATGGGCGACGCAGATGGTTTCCTGGGGCGTTTGAGGGCCGTGTCAGTGGAGGGCCCATCTGTGGACACACAGATCCTCTTTTCCTTCAGCCCCTGTCAGCTCTTCTCTCAGCCAGAGGACCTGCTGGGAGGAAACTGCACCAACGTTGCTGCTTGCCTCATCTTCAGGTAGAAGAACAAGACTTCACTGTTGTGATTGTTTGTTCTAACTATAGTTCTTTTAATTTAAATAACATCACATTTATATACTTTTACAAAACTTTTTAAAGTCAATAAAACCCTATCTGTAACAATAGCTTCTTTTGTTGCCTTTATTTTTTAAATTAATCAATTAAACTAGCATAACAGCTCGATTTTCAATCTTTTTATTTCGTTTCCTGGTTTTGGAACTTTGCTGTTCCAAGGTTAACATTTTACTGCTTTATACTAGACAAAAATTATTATTTAATGTACTGAAATTTTACATTTGGAAGAGAAAATAAAATCCTTTTGCACAAAAAATAAAGTTATCTGCAATATTTTGACATTTCTAGGCACAGAAACCTTTTACTTTTTACAAGAAAAAAAAGTTTTTTTGTTTTTTTTTTTACCAAGATAAAAAATAAAGGCATTTAGGTCATTAATGTTTTGGACTGAGATTTGCAACCAGAGTGAAAACCAAGAGCATTTTTTGTGTTTAAGGGACAAATGTGGAGCTAAAAACAGAGGAACCTTCTTATATAATGAGTCACAGGTTCATTCTGTGATCTGTAGCATAGAGCTCAAACCAGCAGCAAACTACACTCACCGGCCACTTTATTAGGTACACCTGTCCAACTGCTCGTTAACAATTAATTTCTAAGCAGCCAATCACATGGCGGCAACTCAGTGCATTTAGGCATGTAGACATGGTCAAGACAATCTCCTGCAGTTCAAACCGAGCATCAGTATGGGGAAGAAAGGTGATTTGAGTGACTTTGAACGTGGCATGATTGTTGGTGCCAGAAGGGCTGGTCTGAGTATTTCAGAAACTGCAGATCTACTGGGATTTTCACGCACAACCATCTCTAGGGTTTACAGAGAATGGTCCGAAAAAGAAAAAACATCCAGTGAGCGGCAGTTCTGTGGGCGGAAATGCCTTGTTGATGCCAGAGGTCAGAGGAGAATGGCCAGACTGGTTCGAGCTAATAGAAGGGCAACAGTGACTCAAATAACCACCCGTTACAACCAAGGTGGGCAGAAGAGCATCTCTGAACGCACAGTACGTCGAACTTTGAGGCAGATGGGCTACAGCAGCAGAAGACCACACCGGGAGCCACTCCTTTCAGCTAAGAACAGGAAACTGAGGCTACAATTTGCACAAGCTCATCGAAATTGGACAATGGAAGATTGGAAAAACGTTGCCTGGTCTGATGAGTCTCAATTTCTGCTGCGACATTCAGATGGTAGGGTCAGAATTTGGCGTCTACAACATGAAAGCATGGATCCATCCTGCCTTGTATCAACGGTTCAGGCTGGTGGTGGTGGTGTCATGGTGTGGGGAATATTTTCTTGGCACTCTTTGGGCCCCTTGGTACCAATTGAGCATCGTTGCAATGCCACAGCCTACCTGAGTATTGTTGCTGACCATGTCCATCCCTTTATGACCACAATGTACCCAACTTCTAATGGCTACTTTCAGCAGGATAATGCGCCATGTCATAAAGCTGGAATCATCTCAGACTGGTTTCTTGAACATGACAATGAGTTCACTGTACTCAAATGGCCTCCACAGTCACCAGATCTCAATCCAATAGAGCATCTTTGGGATGTGGTGGAACGGGAGATTCGCATCATGGATGTGCAGCCGACAAATCTG